TCGCAATTCTATTGTCAGGAGACTAAAGCACTCACTTACCAATTTTAACAAAGAAATTCAACGTAATAAAGACGCGGTTTTTTTAGAGAGAAATCATCGCATTCGAGTGCAGTTTCGATATCAGTATCGAATGCGATGATTTCTCTCTAAAAAACCACGTCTTTATTACGTCGAATTTCTTTGTTAAAATTGGTAAGTGAGTGATTTAGTCTCCTGACAACAGAATTGCGATCTCAAAATTGGAGAAAAATGACGAGCAGCTGAAAAAATGGAACCAATTGATGCGATATATCGCATGCCGTTTTGACACAAAATATGGCGTCCATCGAATCACCTAATATGGGTAATGCCGCCAGATGACGTCACAAGACGGCAAATTTTCTCAAATTTAAATCAATTTTTCTCCAATTTCTCATGTCAGAAAAAAATTATGAAAAATACTGCGAACTCAGCTCATTAGGCGTCCATCAAATCACATTAAACACATGTATTTTAGCAGAATTGATTATTTTGTCATGTTTCCTCTAATAATTTCTCAATTCATGAATCAAGGGTATCTTCTTGTTCAGTTCACTCAGTACATTCCACTTCAACACAAAATTCATCAAATTTCAGACCCTTGCAAATTCTCCATTAATTGGAAACGCCCGCACCCGCCTATCATCGAACAAAATGGGATATTACTACAATTTTAAGCAATTTCCCTCAACATTTGTTTTCAGTGCAGCATGAATTGAATTTACTTTGTCTCGAAGCATTATCAAAACAACGGACAACCCTGAACACCCTAGCGTTAACCGGAGGTTTGCGCTATACTTTGTGCTCCATGTTTTACATGAAACGAACTGTAGTGTTACTTTTCCTCTCAGTGATTGACTGATCGTGAATTCATTAAATATCTCCATTATAGACTCTCATAATGTTCGTGTAAATCTAGTTATTGTTTCAACTACCCTAATTTCCATTCTGCCACAAGCAGGAACAAGAGAGATTTTGGCCTGTTGCAATGTTGTCACTTTTGTCTCCTTCACGGAAAAAAATATCAAATCCAAATTATACTCCTATGATTTTGGCGCCAGATATAAAAGTAATTGCATTGCACCATGCACCAGTCAGAGGTACGGTTGAGAAAGATTGATTGGTTCAACTATACCTCTTACTAGTGCAACTACTCTTATATCTGGCACCAAAATCAGGTAGGAGTAAATTTGAGATTATGATACTTTGTTTTCAGTGTAGACGTATTAATGCAGGTGCTGCGACGATCACACCCCGTTATATTAATTCATTTCGTTCGTTTGTTTTTTCTCCCAATGCACGTAAAAATATCTAAAATATTTTGTTTATCAACAAGATGGCTAATCAGTCTTGGCCCGGATCAAAGATTGAATTTCTACTATAGAGCACTGGAAAAGCAGTGACGACAAACATGATCAGAAAATGCATTCGTGAGGATCCTACATTATTTTACCATGAAAAACTGCTGAATTCAGAAATACCAAATGTAATTCTTACAAATGACAGAAAATGTCAGTTTCGATGACTAAGGAACAATACCGCTCATCATGCAAACCAGTAGCGTGGCGTGCTTTGCGATATATCGATTGTTATGTCATTTAAACCTATGGAAAAGGATCGATAATCAGGGTGTTCGCAGCGAACACCTTGGTAATCGCGCGATTCTTTACCATAGGTTTAAATGGCAGAACAGCGATATATCGCAAAGCACGCCACGCCACTGATGCAAACGGACGATTTTGCAGGAAAAAGAAGAAACTTCGCCATTTTTCTAATTTAGTGGTTAGATTTGTAATTTTTTTTCTACCTCACAGCGTCTTTGCAGCGACCCATGCGAAATTTGAAAGAAAAATGCGGTGCTCGGTAAATTCGCTAACTCATATTTTCAGTTAAATGGTATTGTTCCTTAGCCCTCGATTTAGATACTATACAGTCTCACCAGTTAAATACGGTATTTACATTGGATCTCATTGTTTCAAGATGTTTATCCGGGTAAACACGAGAGATAGGAGAGAGGATCCCCATGAATTTGGCATTTACCAATTATGAAATGGGGGCTAATTCATCATAATTTAAAATGTGTTAAAAGATTGAGGGATGGCGTGTATTCAACGTGGCCGGACTCCGCAAAAGACAATGAAATGGAATATATTTTGCAATTAGAAACAACTGTTCCTGGTTCATCTGTAAAGGCACCTATCTGCATATGAAATCAAATAGCACAAAAATATTGTCTTAAATTGGGCCTGAAATGATAGTTCTTTATAGCAAAATATGGTCCAAATTATATGGAAACTCCTTGATAAGCTATCACCGAAAGATCGGGATGCGTTTGTTTCACAAGGATAGCGCCATACAATTTTTTCTGCGTTAGTCCAGGTGCACGGCGTTAAGGGCTGAAACAGTAACAGTGGCTGGGCCAGTTTGCACCTCGGTCCTCAACCGGCAGGTGTGCGATGTTGGACGCAGGAAACGTCAATTCACACTTTCCGACCTAACTTTCGTGTGCGGTCGACGCCAATTTTTTTCTCCGTAATGGTATACTAATCTGTAAAGCTTTTCAAAATTGCCCTAATTTAACCGCGTATGAACTTGCGCTTAGTGTACCAAACAAAGCGAACAAATGAACAAGGCCACTTTCATAGACTCGCATTATCTAATGACTTTTGTCCTCTCTGTGCGACGAGCGACTGTTTTTGCGCGACGAAACTTCCGAGCTTTCACAACATTCTCTGATTGAGTCGCGAGCCCGGACGGATATCGAAGCAAGTGTTCTCTCAGCGCGGAAGCCAGACTAGCTATCCTTACTATAAAATTAAAACAGGCCTAAATACGGACACATTCAATTATCAATTTCCTTCCGAACAGTTCTCGACATGCTTCAGTCGAAATTACCTGTTGTGATCCTGGTCTTGGTCGCTTCGATCGACCTCTCTATTGCGTTCGAATATGGATACTTCAACCCTTACGGTCCCACCATCACAACCCCACCCTATGGACCAATCCCTGCCCCAATCACTGTCGGAGACCCGGGCGGATTTGCAAGTGGCTCTCCACCATTAACTTCCCCTCCGTGCGGCTATGGATCTAGTTCCTGTGGATACGGTTACGGCTACCCTTACGGTTATCCCGGCTACTCTTACGGTTATCCCGGCTACCCTTACAGCTATCCCGGCTACCCTTACGGTTATTCCGGCTACGTGAATTGCGGATCTTGCGGATACGGCCCACTATGTGGGTCTTGCGGAACGTGCGGAAATTGCGGAGGCGGCTGCAATTGCGGGTTGCCCTACGGAAATTGCGGATCGAGCTGCTGTTGCACCTCTTGTAGTGGGACTAACATGGCTCCCGGAACCGTACTGGACGGGGTGGATAACTTAATTCAAGGTGGAAATAAATGCGTATCCGCAGGTGACTGTGGGTGTGCGTGTGGAGCTACGTATGGATCCTCTTCGTGTGGATGTTGTGGATCTGGATATGATTCTACGTGTGGAACTACATGCGGATCTACTTGCGGATGTGCATGCGGATCTTCTTCATGTGTATCCACGTGTGATACTGTAAGTGGAACTACGTGTGGAACTATAAGTGGAACTACGAGTGGATCTACATGTGGATCTACATGTGGAACTACATGCGGATGTGCATGCGGATCCTCTACATGTGGAAATGTATGTGGACCTACATGTTCAATTAGAGCTAAATGTGGATGTGCCTTTCAAGGAGTTGTGGATGGTTATGCCCAGAGTCCTGTTGCCGGAGGTAGCGGATCAGGTGTCAATGTCAATGTCAATGTGCCTGTGGTAGGTGCGAATTTGAATGTAGGAGGAAATCCAACGTGTGATTGTGGTTGCTGTGGATCCATAGGATCAAATGTCCCTGTGACTTTAGCTGTATCTATAGATGGAAATGGAGTGGACGCAGCTGGCGGAAATACTGAATATGCGTCTGAAGGAGAAGCTGGAGGTACAACTGTTGTGGAGACTACAGGTACAGCTGCAGGTACACCTACAGATCCACCTACAGATACAAAAGTTGAGACACCTGCTGCAGGGCCTGATAGTGCACCTAACGGAGAAGCTGGGGTTGCATCTGAAGATGAAACTGAAGGTGTATCTGAAGGAGTGGCTGAAGGAGGAACTGAAGATGTACCTGTAGGAGGAGCTGAAGATGCACCTGTAGGAAGAGCTGAAGATACAACTGGTGGAGATGCACCTGTAGAAGGAGCTGGAAATACATCTTAAGAAGAGGCGGGAAATGCAAATAAATTGAAAGCTGGAAATAACCTCTGGAGGGCAGCCAAAAATATACCTGGAGAGGAGGCTGGACGAATATCTACTTGAGAAGCTGAAAATCTAAATGAGGATCTGGAAATCTAGTTGAGGAGCTAGAAATGCATCTACTTGAAGCTCTGGAAATACATATCGTGGACGAGGTAAAAATACGTCGCATGAAATAAGTGAGAATACATCTCGTTCACAAGGTTGGAATGCGTCTAGTGAGGAGGATTTAAGTGCTAAAATACTGTAACACCAAGCTCATAAGACAAATGTTGGACTTTCTCACCACCGACGCCGACTGGCATTGGCCGTGACGACTGAAGGCTTGAAGTTACTGGTCAACTTCTCACCCGGAGTGAAATTCATTCGATCATATTTAAAATTAAGGCTGTTAAAAACATTATAAAATTTCACGCTAAAATTCAACCAGTTAACAAGTCACCGTCAAAATTTGGACATAATGTAACGGTGTGTTGTTGATCAACGTTGTATTCAAGGTTTGGCAGCCTCGGGGAGTGGCGATTCCTCAAAGTTAGCAACACTACTTTCCCTCTTTTAAATGTAATGTAAAATGAAGATAGTCAACAACATAACAAAAAATTGTGAGTCATTTTCAAAATCAGTTTCTTGTAAATTTTTGTTAAGGCTTAAATCTCAATTTTACATTCATGACTCACTAAATTGTCTTTTTGAACTTCTTACCTTGTCTGACTTGTATACCGCTGGCCATTGGTCTGCTGTGTCATAGTACAGGAGTAAATTTTGCACGGCATATTCCTGCAAAAATAAATATTTTTTAAATTTCATTTTGTTAATGTTATTTCTTTAATTCAGAGGTTTTTGATGGGGTTGTTCCAACCTCTAATTAGAATTATACATCTACCACTTTACAGCGACAAACTTTAATCCGAGAGGAATACACTCAGTTAGACCTACTTTAATCAAAATGGAATATTTCCATTGGGAAATGGACCCTAAGACCGTTGAGTCTTTGCGTAACAAGGTTCATGCCACAGTAAAAAAGTACCCTTTTGATACAAATACGTTTAATTGATTCACTATAAATTATCTTGCAACCGTTTCTCGCAAATTTGTACATTCCAACTTAAGACTATAATAATAAATATAAAATGAACGTACATGAATTTCAATGGATATTTAAATATTGCTTGTAGCTTAACTTCAACCAATCCTCTTGTAATAGTAAAATTGGGTAATTCATGAATTGCCAAAGGAAAACTGCTCAATGTCAATTATTGATAACTTCAGCTATTTTTCCTCTCCGTGCGAGGCAAGCTCAGTGAAAACTGCAAGGAATGATATTGATTTGTCTCTTGCAAAAAAGTTTAATGGGGGCAGAGATTTTCAAACACCTCAAAGAAGATATGTGGTTTGGTAGTTTCCTCCGTAGATTTGTCACTTATAATATACTGGATCTGAACATTTCAATAAGAAATATTCATAACTCTCCTAAATTAGAATTTCCACCGGGGGAAATTTGACAACAGTGTGATGCACATAAGTTGTTCTTCCTAAGTGCAGTAGCGTGGACTGTCAACCATCAGCACCCTCTGTCCCCCTCTCTCTGTTCTTGCATGATTCGTCGGTCTGTTTAGTACCTCCTGCCCCGACAGGTCTCGCTACAGAGCGCCAGGTCTAATGATTTACGTTTTCCGAAAACATGAGCCATTTAAAGTGAGAGATGGGTTCTGTGTATGATTAACGCTTTAGATCCAGTCGAATTTAGCAAGAATATGCTTAATGTCTTCTCCACATACTGAGATGAGGGCTGAAAGTGGGTGGTATTGATGCGTTCGTTAAATAATTTTCTAAAATTCAATTTTCGACGTACCGCGCGATTTTCAGCAAAGTGATGAGTTTGGAGTGCAAAAACTGTCACCTTATGTCAGGCATTCCTAAGAAATAAGGTGTGTCTTATGTGTTGGCCACTATTGGTGTGGTGATTGCAACTCTAGCTTTATTATCAAGGGGTCCCAGGTTCGATTCCTGGCCCAACTTTGTGGTCTCAAACAATGGTTTCCATCAGTTGGTATTGCACAACAGGGACGAGGCTTAAAATGCAAACAAAATGCAGGATTCTTCCCTGTGTGGCCCTTGAAGGAAGAGAAAAGGGGAACACCCTCATTTTTCACCAACCTGAGAAATGTGACCGAAGTTTGTATTGTGATTGACGAAAGTCATTGATTTCGCATTTTAAATATTGATAATTGATAATTTCATAATAATTTTACGATAATTTTAACTTACGATAATTTTAATTTTAATTTACGTCATTGATAATTTTACGTAATGCTGTGCTTAACCTCTCCTCGTCGTAGTGTTCCGGCTTGCGTTACGTAGCACAAGCACAGTCCCTAACATTACACCGCCGTGCTAAGGAAGAACGTCGTATGAACATTCGAGAGTTGCCAAATTTCCCCGAATAGAACATGTATTTTTGAAGAAAGTAATACGCACTTTTCCTTAAAATTGTTCCATATTTTATATTAAATTGGAAACAAAATTGTCTGAAAAATTGGAAGGAAAACATTCAGAATTTTCCCAGTAAATTCGTCGGTTAATAAAGAAAATATAGCAACGCCTGAAGGCTCATACGGCGTTTTTCCTTAGCACGGCAGTATAGCATGATGAGTAAGGATTCGTTAAGGTGAGGCTAACTTGGTGGCATCTACCTTACCTACGGTTACCAAAGTTCTGGTATTTGTCTTATTAGTGATGAGTCTGTTGATTACCATACTCATAGCCCATATAAAGGTAGGTAGGTACAAGGCCCATATACATATTAAGGGAGCAAACATTACAGCATTAAAAGTACTACATTACAGGGATCACATTTTGCAATAAGGAACCAGCATCTCTGGCTCTCCCATATAAGCACGTATCTTCATAGGGAAATCAATGGCACATATGTTGTTTCTAAAATGAGCCAGAAATAGTGGTTCCTTATTGCAAAATGTAATCCACATGTACCACAGTTACGAGTGCTCGACTGACCTTTTTATTCATGTCACTTCACTCGCGGAAACATGCAGTCAAATCCGCGAGTCACTTCATCGTTCTAATCACGAAAGGTCTTAACTACATTTCTATGTTGCCAAATTTATCCTCGAAAATTAAAGTTCCACCAGGAGAATCTTGAGCATTTCTAAGTGAAACCTCCACTGATTTTTCCTCTGATTTCATGCAAAAATCAGAGAATAAATTGACGAAAATTACGTAGGTATACACATACATTAGAGTCACTTTCATAGCGCTCTCTGGCACTCTGCGACGTCTAATCGCTGCAAAACTCGGTCCTCCCACAATCCATCGGGGAGTTGACACTCCCTAATTTCATTTAAAACCCTCTGTTCCCACCCTTTCATTGGGCGTCCTCTTCGTCTCCTCCCAGGAGGAACCCAATCAAGCATCTCCTTGGGAGCCTCTCTTCCGTCATCCTATTAACACGACCGTTCCAGACGGCGGTACTTATGCATTTCCCGCACAAAATCTGGGATTTTGACAATTCCGGACAAACATCGCGATTTATATTTCCGCACGAAATATTTCCCTACCACATTCGTCTGGCAACATTTTCCTTGCCATCAAAAGATGAAAATACTTATGTGGCTATGTGGTATCTTTCACAAAAAATGTGGCGATCCCCAATAAACAACAGGTTAGTATAAAATGTTTTCTCTAATTCCCTCACATTTCTTGCATGTGGATTAAAGAGAAAAACGATTGAAATATTTGCGCGGTTTTGCCAAATCATGCTAAAAATAGAGTTATGATGCTTACTGAGTTTGTGGGGAAATGTCAATCCAGGTTTTTGTGTGGAAATTTCAGAATCGGGAATTTTGTGCGGAAACGTCAACCCACCTCCCAGACAAGCTGTTTGGTCGTGACGTCAACACGTCTAGGGTTTATAGGTAAACATAGGGTACATACGTATATCCTACACGGAAAAAAAGAGGTAGGGGTTAAGTCCCAACTATTGGATGATATGAACATTCCCAATTAATTGTGGTAATACACCCCGATTAATTGTGGTAGTATTCCAATTAATAATGGTAGTATCCCAATAAATTAGGTTACTAACCCAAATGTTGCGGTACTACCCCAACTTGAGTTGCGGTGCTACCAAAATTAATTGGAAATGTCCATATCATCTAACAAATTTGGGTAGGACCACAATTTTAGGGGATAGCCCCTGACACTTTTTTTTTTCAAGCTTGTAAGAAATTGAATACACTGAGAAAAAATTCTCGGCGTTTTTACCAAGGTCCGTTGGTACCTTTACCATCTCACTTATTTTTACCAATCATTGGTAATTTTACCAAGACAGACTGGTAAGCTTACCTAAAACCTGGTATTTTTACTGTTTATTCAGATAAGAATACCACTTTTATTGGTAATCAATTCCCGGTAACTTTGCCATTTTATCTCGGTAATTCTACTACAGTCGATAAAAAATATTGGCGTTTTTACCAAGGTTTTTACCGAGATTTCTTGGTAAAATTGCCAATTCAATAAATGGTAATTTTACCAAGAAAAAACTGGGATCAAATAGAACCCTGAATTCTTGGTAATTTTACCCTTTTCTTGGCGAATACAACGAGATTTTTTTTCAGTGTAGTTTGAATCAATTTTGCAACCGTGGAATGGAGTTACGTTCTTTTGTCTGGGAAATGACGACTTGAGCAACATAAGTTCTGTGGAGAAGTAAATTCGTCGACTGGGAGGGGCGAGGAAGGGAGAGAAAGGAGTGGGTTGTAATTTAAACGTGACAGTAAGAATATTAAGCAGGCTCATTGATCCGAAAAAAACACGCCAACCCCCGACCCTCTGGAGTCAATTCCGCTCGACTCTTACTCGTCACGGCGGCCACTTGTAAGTGGCTAATTCTCTCCCACTCTTTGTTCCCTTTTAATTTTCTCCAAGTTCTAAACAATTAAGGGTTGAGTAGGTGAAGGGATGCATTCCGATGTTGCTCGACTTTTTAGTATTTTAATCTTTTTAAAGCGAAAGATTCATCCCCCGGCCGTGCTTCTTCCTCATCATGTGTATTATGTATGAATGGAGATGTTGCATGTGTGAGGAATTTGCGATAAGGCTATTGATTCATATGTAAAAGTTCTCGAGAAACACGATGGTGCCACTGGTTTTCTCTGAAATCAACTCCCAAGCTAAAAAAAACCTCTCAAGTTGAGGCCAAAATGGAGGGGATATCCCACGCTATCCTGAGAGTCCACCTCTACATCAACACAAACTCTCCATGCAAAGATAGGGAGCAAATACATTAGCAGGGTTGCCGTGCTTTCAGTTTTGGAGTCCCCAATTAAAGTGGCAGCCCTGTCTATTTGCTCCCTATCTTTGCATGGAGAGTTTGTCTTGATGTAGAGGCGAACTCTCAGGATAGCGTGGGATATTTCCTCCATTTTGGCCTCAACTTGAGAGCGTTTTTCTGAGCTTGGGAGTTGATTTCAGAGAAAACCAGTGGGACCATCGTGTTTCTCGCGAACTTTTACGAAGAATCAACAGTCAAATCGCACATTCCTCACACATGTAACATCTCCATTCTGGGGAATTTGATTTTTTCAGAGATTATTCCTGAGTGTAATCGGGCTGATTGTTGAAATGGATAGACAAAGCTTTAGACATAAAAGACCTAGAGATAGTATGAAGCGATCTTATCGGTTGAAATGGTTGGTTCCTATGATGCCGTGCAACGCAAAAACGCCGTAAACGCCATTTTAAATTTTTTGGAAACAATGTATCATAGCAGAAAAACTTATGTACCTTGGGATAATATTTTTACAGAATTCTTTCGCAAATACTGTAAAGAACTTAACCTGAAAATTTGAGGTGCATGGGTAAAACAGTTTTTATTTTATCAATCGTTAAGTTCCAAAAAAACGCGGAAAAATCTTTATGGAGTTACGGCGTTCTTGCTTAGCACGGCAGTATGGACTCAGGGACAAAATGATGGACTAACTTTGGGGTCTTTCGTTGGTTACCGGAATTTAGTCTACTATCTACCTTCTTTGTCCATTGCAACCACCCGCTCCCACCAATAGGATCCCTCCATATCTCTTTCGGATTCTATGTCTATATCTTTGTCTATCAATTTAAAAAATCAGCCCGCTGTAGGTATTTAAGTTTCCTGACAATGTTGCCAGTTTTAGAAGCAATTTACTTCATCCGCTTATAACATGTACAAACGCAGTCGTTCCTTTATTGGCTCATTTCCTTCATTAAAACTAAGGTATCCGGTTCGTTTACATAAAAATAGAATCCATGTATAGGTATTTATTTCGCAGACTTGTAGCTTAAGCACCAACTCACCTTATGGTATTCAATCTGGTACTCGAATTGGCCATTATCCGATAGAAAACAAAATCTGGCCAGAAATGCCCACTTCTGGAAAAGAGAAACAGAAGAAAAATCCTCGGTTATTTTCTCAAAGTAGTTTTATTACACATTTAGCTCTCATGAAATATTGTTTAGTCTAATGATATTAGTAACGACCTCTCATCCCTGGTAAACATTGGCGATAAGGGCTACGTTTCAAAATACCATAGGAATTCTTATAGCCGGCTAAAGAAGGCTACAGAAAATCATATAGCTGGCTGTAGAATGCGAAGAAAATCATACGGCCGGGCTATACGATGCGATTAAAAAATTATGCAGCCGGGCTTTGCACTTTATCGCCTGGCTGTTGCTTTTTCTCCATCGATTGTTAAAGGCTATAAGAAATTGTGTAGAAATTCGTGTGCTTTAGAAATCATTAAGTTTGACACGGAACCATCTTATTATTTACAAAGCACACGTTATATTTTCCTTTAATACACATTTCTTTCATCAATTAAAACTATAGAATAATCCATACAGGATGTGCAAACATGTCAAAATCATGAGTTGAATAACGCTGACTCCGCCGGATTAAATATTAGAGCCTAACACAAAGCGGAGCGGCGACGCGCTGGCGCCTACAAACCTAACAGGGATACTTCACGCATTGCGCAACGCGTGAAGTATCCCTGTTAGGTTTGTAGGCGCCAATGCGCGTTTCGCGCTAGCTGCCCGCCTGCCGCACCGCAGCGTGCCACGATACTTGAAGGAACTATTTCACACCTGAGGTATTGCACAGTATCATACGAAACTGAAGGCACTTTAATATATTAGGAATGGCAGGCATCCATCAAAAGTACGGAGCTTTCCTCAAGATACCACGGCCCAAAAAGAGAACAAAGGTCCAAAAACTCACTAAGTCCTAGGATCCGTAATTAGTGACGTTTAGCATACACTTTATTGCCTAGCTGTGAGTTGCTTAATCGCCATCGACTATAAAAGGCTATAAGAAATTGTGTAGCCGGCTATAGAAGCTATTGGAAATCTGACAGCCGGCCGTAGGTCTATGGTATTTTGGAACACAGATTCTACTTTTTACCAGAGATCGAAAAAAAAGAAAAATATTTTACAACAAGTGTGACCCTCGTCTTCTTGATTTTGTCATGCACTGCTTTGACTAAAAAAGTGATAAACGTAGGGGCATTTTCTATACACGCTAATTAGACACTGCTTTTTTATAAAGAATTAAGAATAAAATTAATGTTTTACGATCTCAAGTTTTTATTATAGCGAGAATTGAATAGAATAAAACGGCCAACTTCAACATTTTCAGGTTGTGTTTAAATCAGTTACTGTCAGGAGTGTCAGGTAAGATTATATACCCGACATAGCACGCAAATCCTCGCGTAGATGACTATTGACACACGGAGCACTTTCTTGGCCTACCTAGAAAATGGAAGGCGAAATAATAATATGCGTGTTTCCACACCTCATAATTGGTCGGCCCAATTATTCCCTAATGATTTATTTATAGACTGAGATTTTAATAGTCTCAAAATAATCCACCTAGAGATTACAATTTAATGTATGCATATTGATCCTACTGAAATGCATCGCACAATCCCTCAAGATCCATTTTACGATGGTTCTTTCAGCACCAGACTTTTTTCAGGCAGAATACTTGGTAACATGGTAATTGATTAAAAAATTGAGCTACAAACCAAAAATAAATTGAACAAGTAATAATTCAAACTACATAGAGATGAGAAATAATACAAAACTCACAAGAAACAAAGCAAACGTTTCGGTCACCTTACACATAGATTTTGTAATCAATTACCATATTCTATACAGCTTAGCTAGCCAAATTTGGCATTAAAATGTATATACTTCGTAATATTGATAAGAGAGCGAGAGACAAAATAGTCCGAATGCAGACAACAATAAAAACACACTAAAATACAAAAAACAAATGGGTATACAACGCTAGAGGAGACATAAAACGACCCGGACGTTTCGGGCCAATTACATGCCCATTCTCAACTGGAACAGAAGCTAAAAAATGTAAAAATTAAAACGAGAAAATGAGCATACAACTGACGGAGGTAGGAATCAGTGCAAACTCATTGCATGCTCTTTTTTTCGTTTTAATTTTTACGTTTTTTAGCTTCTGTTCCAGTTGAGAATGGGCATGTGATTGGCCCGAAACGTCCTGATTGTTTTATGTCTCCTCTAGCCTTGTATACCCATTTGTTTTTTTGTATTTTAGTGTGTTTTTATTCTTGGTAATATTGACGAACTCAATAATTTTCCCGACTATGCAAGTGAGACTTTCCCCGGGATGAACTCCGTGAAGAAGAAGTCAAAGAACAAGTCAAGATCCCTAAGACTACCGCGTTTGATGGTGGAATTGGTTTACCTCTGCAGTGACTAGATGGCCCTCGATGTACTTGGAAGCCACACCGATCCAATGCCTGCTAAGCACGAGGACCATAAAAGCGGGTACAAGCGGCATGTGCACGATTTATGACTGCAGGCTCGCCACTTCAGACCGTAGGGCCCACCCTCGATCAGGGCCTCTGTTTACGCGGACCGCACGCCGGTTGCCCCTGACAACCGAACCCACAATCGCGGAGCACAGGTCGCGAGGCAATCCCGCTTTACGTCACCCTGGTACGTTCGCGGTGATTGGCAATAGCTCTCTCATGTGTGCGGCAAGGGTGAATACTGCCGCACTGAGGGAAAACGTCGTATGAACCTTCAGGCGTTGCAAAATTTCCTTGGATAAAACATGAATTTCCTGCAGGGCTAGATTTACCTACTTGCCGCCCATGGGCCGCTTGTATTTTGCCGCCCCCTTCTCATTCGTTTTGAAACTCGATAAAAACCATCAAATGAAAGTGTAAGCGGGGGAGGGGTGCATAAGACGCATTTACTCGTGTTGAACACATTTTTTGGGAAAGCCCTGTCAACACTACTAGCAAAAGTTCACGGAACTCTACGCGAAAGTTAAGTTCCGTAAACCTATCTCCGTGCGGACAAGGCCCTTATTTCATAAAAAATGAACGAAAAAATTATGAAAGAACAAACATAAATGTGGACCAAGGATTTTAACTTCCACCACCGCGCCGCGCAGACCGCACCGTGTTTGGCGCAATGCGTGCAGTATTCATGCATTCTTGTAGGCGCTATCCGTTTCACGCTGACCGCAATGACTGCATTGTGTTTGTTGCAATGCGTGAAGTATTCGTGCAGTCTTGTAGGCGCTAATATGTGTTACATGCCGATCGCCGCGCCGAGTGCTTCTCCTTTTCATCGCAAGTCCTAGTCATCATTCCTCTCTAAGTCGCGTATAGGTAAGTCCAGGCCAAATTTCGTGTTTGGTCACTCTCTTAACTCGACTTATTGAAGGTGCTGTCTCTTGTATCACTAAGAGACGACAAAATTAATACTCTCAGGAAATGAGAGATTTTGTCGCCTTTTCTCGTTTGTAATTTTGTTTTTATAAATCCGATTTTTTTTAATCCTACACTTAAAAAAATTGCGCATTTTTGCCGCCCCTTAGATTTGTCACCATGGGCCGCGGCCTATGTGGCCACCCCCTTAATCCGGCCCTGACGCCGTTTGAACCTTCTGGCGTCGCCAAATTTCCTTGGATAAAACATGAATTTCCATGGTAAACTTTCCCATATTTTTCTTCCAATTTTTCAGATGATTAGTTTTGCGATTTAATCTACATTATCTGAAAATTTCATGGAAAATTATTCACAACTTTTCTCAGAAATAAACATTTTATCGGAAGAAGTTTGGCAACTCTTGAATGTCATACAGCGTTATTCCTTAGGACGGCAGAATAGCTCTTTCATGTGTGTGGCAAGGGTGAATACTGCCGCACGAGGGAAACACGCCGTATGAACTTTCAGGCGTTGTCAAATTTCTCCTGGCAAATCACTAATTTTCAGGAAAATTTTTGAATATTTTCCTTCCAACTTTTGGATAATTTTGTTCGCAATTTCGTTTTTGTTCTTCGTCTTTAAGGGATTTTTTATGTGAACAGATATATTCAGTAAGAAATGTTTATATAATCCCACGTTTTCCATCTAGGAGACTGTAATATTTTGCTGTCATAACATTAGGCATAATGAGGAGTGAACTCCTCTAAATTCACCCCCGAAAAATCACAGCAGGGCCTACAAAGCGAACACTGAACTATCGACTTTCTCTCCCAATCGCCTGCAGACAATAGACAATGAACTTGCAGGCAGTGGTGTTGCGTGCTTTGCGATAAATCGATCGATCTACCATTTAAACCTATGGAAAAGGATCGATAAGCAGGGTGTTCGCAACGGACACCTTAATAATCGATTCTTTACCATAGCTTTAAATGGGAAAATATCGATAATCGATCACTCACGCCTTGCCACTGCTTGCAGGCGGCGAAGTGCATTAAATGATTAATGCCGTAACTTGTCGGTCGCTTTTGTTATTAATTTGAAAGTTCCCGCACAAGCTTTTAATTTAATTTATACTTGCATGAAGCATACGCAGTTTTTTCGTTTTGTTTTACTCTCTTCAAGATAAAGACCATAATACACGATGAACTTTCTTCAAAAGTTTTTCTTGTTGTCAGTTAAGACCTTTTCAAATAACAAATCTGCTCTGAATGAAATCGCATAGTCATCATGGGTAATTTAAGGACTATTGTTTTGCAGTAAAGAACTACTATTACGGGCGTATTTTAGAGACATCAAATGTGCGATTGGTTTCCGTTTGTAGGTAGGTGTTTCTTATGGATGAACCAAATGTAGTAGTTCCTTATGGCTAAATTTAGTCCATTTTGAGGATACATTTCACATGGAAAGGCTTTTTTTGGCCGCTAAGAAGCCTAAATTTCAGCGATCGAGGAAACTCTAACCGCCGTAAGGTCTGCTTATTAAGGCACTAAAAACCAGGCACGTAGCCGGGGGAGGATTGAGCCCCCCAAGCCCCCCCAAAGCAAAAAAAAGGAGGAAAAGAGAGAAGGAAAGAGGAGACAGAAGATGAGAAAGTGCGAGAAAAGAAGAAAATTTAGACCGTCGAAAATATTTATCTCTTTTAAGGTAAAGTCTTAAATGAAAACCCCGTGTTCATTCCTAAAATTTTTGCCAGAGAGGCCTCAAAATGTGTCCAAATAGAGTTGAAATTTCAAACATTTTCAGGATTATTTTGAGTGCGTATTTGCATTTTTTGCTGAAAGTTCAAAAAGAAAACGTAATTTTTCTGCAGACATTGATGGAAAATCTGCGTCAAGTGCGTCACGGAAGCCTCAAAATGCGTCTAATTGGATTACAAATTTCTAAAATTTTCCGGGAGAGGACCTCTGGAATAGAAAGTTGCGCTTGTATGTGGGTCCTATGAGCTGATCATCGACATAGCTTGTAGCTTCCGAAACAGTCTCTTCGCCGAAAACTAGAAAACTGTATCGGCCTGTATTCACGTGTTTCAGCCCACCTACCGAGCAGGCCGCGAAATGAAAACACTTTGAACTCGACCGCAGGACGCTTCCAAAACAAAGAAACGTTGCCGCTATGCTCGGTCCTCTTATCAATACCGCAAACCGCCACTCGTTTCCTTTCTCACAACTTTCGAGCTTGAGTAAAGCTCATCGATCAATACTCAAGCTGAGCAAACTTTCAAAGTTCTTACCTCCAGACGACCCTTTGTTCACAGCGCATAAAAACCGGTCCAGCCTCTGGCCAGTCACACTTGAACTTTCGCACCCTCTCGGGCCACATCACCAGAATGTTGAGAGTAACTATTGTGGTTTTGGCTTTAACGGCCGCCAAATCCATTTCTGCTACGTGCGACAGTGGAGACGACTATAGCTGCGGATACACCGATTCTTGCCTGTCATGTCCCGATCTGAATTCCTTGCTATGCCAATGTGGCTCAGGATACCTTTCCGGTAGCTGTGGATGCGGCGGTTACGGGACCACACCATGTAACACCTGTGGGAGCGTTTCCGGTAACTGCGCTTGCACAGGAAGTGGCACATCCTGCCAAAGCTGCGGGAATCTTCCCGGTAACTGCGCTTGCTCAGGAAGCAGCACATGCTGTCAAAGCTGCGGAGGTCTTGGTAACTGCGGCTGTACCATAACCGATACGATTGTACCAGGTTGCATAAGCTGCGGAGGTACTTCCGGTAACTGTGGATGCGCCGGATGCGGAAGTGGGTCATGCTCCACTAACTGCGGAAGCACAACTAACTGCCCATGCACCGGATGTGGATTATCCTGTAACAGCTGTGGAAGCACCCCAAGTAACTGCGCGTGTACTAATTACGGATGTGGTTCGCCTTGTAGCAGCTGCGGCATCATTCCAGGGAACTGTGGGTGTTCCTCTCTCGGAAGCTGCGGAAGTTGCGGACCGGTGAATTTCGGTTGCGGAAACTGCCCGAGCGGAACCTGTGGTACCTGTACCACAGGTACCCCCTGCAGTACCTGCGGATACAGAGTCATACCAGCCGTATACGGTGGTCCTTGTAACGGCGGATATGGCGGCTACGGTTACTGCGGCAGTTACGGCCGGCCCGGTTGCTGTAAATTACCTCCTATCTTGTATCCGTTAGTCGTTACACCGAGTGGAGTCAGTTATGGCGGAAATACCGGATGCTGTACCTGCAGCACCGGAGGCTGTGCTGCCGGTGGTACATGTAATACCGCAGGTTGTACTACAGGCAGCAACACCGGAACCAGTACCACAGGCACTACCACAAGCTGTCCCTCATGCTCTTCCTCAGGCTGTTCCTCAAGCTGTGCGTCGGGCTGTTCTTCAACTTGTGCGTCGGGCTGTTCTTCAACTTGTGCGTCGGGCTGTCCCACTTGCAGTAACACATGTGGCACAAGCTGCGGCGGAGGCTGCTGTGGAGGATGTAACCGTTGTACTCAAGGTTGTTGCGGTATTGCTTGCGGCAATACTCCAGCCTGTTCCGGTACTTTCATAGGACTTGTCGCCCCCGGTACAGACCTTGGAAGCAGTACCACTGGTTGTGCCACAGGCTGCTCCACAGGCTGTTCCACAGGCTGTTCCACAGGCTGTTCCACAGGCTGTTCCACAGGCTGTTCCACGGGCTGCTCCACAGGATGTTCCACGGGCTGTTCCACGGGCTGTTCCACGGGCTGTTCCACGGGCTGTTCCACAGGCTGTTCCACAGGCTGTTCCTCAGGCTGTGCTTTAGGCTCTTCCACTTGCAGTAGCACAGGTTGTCAAAGTTGCACTGGAGGTTCTACTTGTTCCAGCGGATGCAGTACTGCATGTGATAGCACAGGCACCACCACGAGCTGTCCCACAAGCTGTGCTTTAGGCTCTTCCACTTGCAGTAGCACAGGTTGTCTAAGTTGCACTGGAGGTTCTACTTGTTCCAGCGGATGCAGTGCTACATGTGATAGCACAGGTACTGCCACGAGCTATTCCTTAGACTCTACCTTAGGCAGTGCTACTGACAATGCCGTAGATATCGATGTAGATGTAACTACGTAGGCAATGAGGTGGGTTCAAGACTAAACCGAACAAAACCATTCTGTCGTAAATAGGGCTAGCGTTCCCTATTTACAGACAAGAATGGCAATGTCTTGTGATTTTGTATTTTAAAATTAACCTACTAGAATTTTGAAAATGAAACTAAAATCTACCCTGAAAGAAATTTGTCCAAATTTTATGCATAAGAAATACATTTTGAATGTGTGTCTGAAATATTTTTGTTGATGGTATATTGAATTCCACCCTAAGCCTTGAATGTATCGATGCGTTAAGTTGCATAATGCGTACCTCTATTGCAAAATTTGAAAATGACCGACAATTTTTAATTTATTTAAAAGCAAAAACTAGTCAAAATATCTCCTTCAATTTTTATTTGAATGCTCTTCTTATAAATTTTTTGGAAAACTGTTCAGTAGTGATCGTTCAAAAACATAAATCATGGAGCAGCTATTTGCCATGTCGCAAATAGAGATGTGCATTTCCCAACTCCAGCCATCAAAATGCTCTAAAGTTGCCATGATTAAGAACGTTTAGCTTTCTCTCAGTTATGAAAATAGATTTGACGCCGTTCCTTCCTCCTCGTTTTCATGAAATAAAAAAGAAACGGGGGGTTAAAGGAGAGGAGAAGTATCAGTGTGTGACAGTGTAGTCATTTTACGGAAATTTTCCATAAGAAAATGAAAGGACTGCAAATATTTAAAAAAGAAATTTATTTTGCACTGCACATTCGTCATATTAAAACTTCGAACAAACAAATGAAAAATTAATAATTAGTTTCAACATATTCTTATTTCAAAGAGAGAGCGCAAACCGGTGAGGAAGGAATGTCGTAAAGTAAAAGTATTTTAAAACTTCTACTTTAAATCTATATTTGTGCTTCGGGTATGGGGACCGCAAAATGTTTCACATATCAGAATTGATCCGATTTGTGATCGTATTTAGAAAGGACTCTGTGCTTCAAGGTATGACCATTTATTTGGTCATTCCAAAAAGGCCAATGTAGCAATTTCAAACAGTTTTACATAGAAATCCAAAGTCCGCAAAGTTTAAAGTTTCGAATTTCAGATCAAAACTGAACATTGGAAACCAATGCATGTATAATTTGAGAGGGAGAAAATTCGGTTAAAAATTAACCTCATCCGTCGCTGACCTGACTCTCGCTTCAATCAGCAACGCTCCAGTGGCGTAGCGTGCTTTGCAATATTTCGATCGGTCCGCCATTTAAACATAGGAAAAGGATTGATAAACAGGGTGTTTGCAACGAACACCTCAATAATCGATTCTTTACCACAGTCTCAAATGGGAAAATATCGATAATCCATCAATCACGCCTCGCCACTGCAACGTATACCATTGGACCACTGCAGAGGCTAGAGTAGTGTCATTGAGGCGACAAAAATTATTAAAGTGGATCCTAACTACGTTTAAGAACGATTCCATGGTCGATTAAGAATTAGAATTATAGAATTTATTCATGCATACAGCATACAGTAGAAAGCTCTGGCACAAGTCAAAGTTGCTGCTCGCTTTAGCACGGCAGAGTAGATTTGCGAATGAACCACTAGACAAGGTACGAATTTCAGCATTCTGATACATGTTTCTTAACCAAAATTTCACGTAGAACACGATACGCACAACGAAAATTACCGAAATTAACTCTTTACGAAGATATTTAATGATTCTTGATGCGTGAATTGAAACCACCCGCTCATGAAAACTCAATGCTCTACGTGATTTACATCGCGCGCTAAACGTTATCATAAACGTCTCAGCGATATAAAAATCTGGCAACCTCAGTCTTGACGCTTTGGCTCAGCTACAGCAAATTGATTATAGTTTGAACAACACATGGTGGGAGATGAACATTGCTCGATTGAGAAGCTTGCTGAAACCATTGTAGTGCGCGATTTGACTCATGTAGAGCTTTGAGTTTCTCGCGAGCGGCCAGTTCAAATTCCTCGTAACTGATGCGAAATAAAAACGTTAATATCTTCGCTAAGAGTTGGTTTCAGTAACTTTCGTTGCGCGAATCGTGTTCTACGTGAAATTTTAGTTCAGAAACATGTATTAGAATGCTAAAATTCGTACCCTGTCTAGTGGTCCATTGACATCTTCGCAATCACTGAGTCGAGGTAAAAAATTGTTAACAGCGCAGACGAACAGTGGCGTGGGGTGCATTGCGATATATCGATTGATCTGTCATTTAAACCTATGGAAAAATATCGATAAACAGGGTGCTCGCAACGAATACCTTAATAATTGATTCATTACCATAGCTTCAATTGAGGAAATATCGATAATCGATTGTTCACGCCTCGCCACTGCAGACGAAATGCGCACTGAAAAAAAAATATCGGTGTATTTACTGAGAAAAGGGTAAAATTACCAAGAATTCAGGGTTCTGTTGGATCCCAGTTTTCTCTTGGTAAAATTACCATTCATGGAATTGGTAATTTTACCGAGAAATCTCGGTAAAATTATTGAACTTTCTCAGTAATTTTACTGGACCCTGGTAAAAACGCCATTATTTTTTATCGACTGTGGTAGAATTACTGAGATAAAATGGCAAAGTCACCGGAAATTGATTACCGATAAAAGTGGTATTTTTACCTGAAAAAACAGTACAAATACCGGCTTTTAGGTAAGCTTACCAGTCTGTCTTTGTAAAATTACCAATAATTGGTAAAAAAAAGTGAGATGGTAAAGGTACCAACGGACCTTGGTAAAAACGCCGAGAATTTTTTTTCAGTGTGCGATATATAGATTGATCTGCCATTTAAACCTATGGAAAAAGATCGATAAACAGGGTGTTCGCAACGAGCACCTTAATAATCGATTCTTTACCATATCTTCAATGAGGGAAATATCGATAATCAATTGATCTCGCCTCGCCACTGCAGACGAAATGCATATCACGCGAGTTGCATCATCGATGCAGGGCAGAGATAGCTGCCGATTGCACTGGTTGGAGGTGTGCGGTCCCAAAATAAGTCGGAGCCCCATTGGGTCTTCGACCGAGAGGAGGGGCCTACCCCAACGAGCCGCAGAGGGATTTCGTCCATTTTCAGTCGGCCCGCGTAAAACTCTCAGGGATCTAACCTTTCAGCTAGTTTTCGGAATTTCGCTGAATCCTTGGGACGTAGGGCGCGGTCGCATAGTGCTCGCCACCGAAATAATTCGCCCAGTATACAGTGTGGTGCCCTTTCTTTTCCCGTCGAATTTTCACTTAGAATTGATTCTCTACCCCCCGCCTCCTCTTGCTACCCTGGAGAGCATACATTCAATTTGACCTCAGGAGAAATCCATGAATTTGTGTGCGCCACCGAAATAATTAGCCCAGTATACAGTGTGGTACCCTTACTTTTTCCGTCGAATTTTCACTTAGAATTGATTCTCTACCCCTCCCCCCTCCCCTCTTGCTACCCTGGAGAGCGTTCATTCAATTTGACACCAGGAGAAATCCATGAATTTGTGTGCGCAATATTAGCAACTAATAGTGTTTTGCCCCTAAACGCTTCATAATTTTGGCAAACTGCGTTAGTTTTCACCGTCGAGTACAGTCTCTCCCAATGGTGGTTTTTGACTCTATGATTTGCAGTCAATTTTTTTTTGCTAGTAATGTGAGATGAGAAACGGTTGAGGGGAAAACAAAATAGAAGGCGAGAAGAAGAAAGTAAGAGTTCGGAAAGTTGCATCCACGCACGGAGAGAGGCACGGCAATTTTTTCGCGCCGTTGAATTGCTTAATTTCTTTCGTTTACCGTCCTTTAGTTTTTGTTTCGTGCGTTATTCCTCTGGACCTCTAAACGATTCGAAACAGTTATCTTTGTGAAAAATATTTTTTATTCAAATGTGCAATCCGGAGAGAAGAACTGCTTGATACGTTCAGATCACTGCATAGAATAACTTCAAATCCACGTTAACCAATAATGCATAGCCCACTGGACAATACCTCATGGTAAGTCAGTAATTATGTTACGTTCTTTGCGTTTTGTAATTCTATCCCTCGTATTGTGCCATCAATTTCTTAGAAATTAAAAAAATTAAGTTAAAAAGGGGAAAAATTATCACTCAAAATGAAAGTTATTGTTTCTCTATTTTATAAAGACAGTCTAAATGAAATTAGGTACGGATTAGAAGTGCCAAATAGTTGAAATGAGGCACTTTGCAAAGGAACTGGAACAATTTTACTTCGAACAATACTTTTTAAAAATGTCATATTACCATACTGTTGCTGAAAGGAACTAAGTAGCACGCAAACCCTATGCAAATAGTTCCTTTTAGCATAAGTGCATGTATATCTCAACAGGAAATCGAAATGAGCATGAGAAAACGAATCTTCAAAACTAGGTTGAATGCGGTATATACCATTGTCAAACAAATTTTAATTTTCAGTAAACATTGTTTTCGGTTGGTAGAAAAACAACATTGAGTCCTTATTTCTCCTGCGACGTTGACTGCTGGTAAAACTTGGAACGAATATATTTTATCCAAACAAATTTACCGATTTTGCTCTTGAGTCAATTGAATACATTTGCACCCTCCCCTCTCTTAAGTGATAAGGACATTATCGAACAAGTAATATGGGTTGGATGAAAAGAGGCAGTTAGTTTTTCTCTCTTATTCAACGCTGAGTCATACCGATTTGAACTGAGGGAATCTTTTATTCAACAGATCTTCAACATGTGTCACTCGATTGAAAATGTACTCGCCATCCATCTTGCTGATGAGAGGGTTGTAAACACATATTATAGAGGGTGAAATGTCGTATGAAGGTTGATAAAGAAATTTAAGATATCCACCCCTGCATTTCTTTTCAAATAGTAAGAGAAATAACGACCCAACGTTCGTTTTTCCAATATTTTTCGACCAGTCAAAGTTTCCAGGTTTCGGAAAACTTGGCGAGGGAAAAGGATCGGTACTAATTTCTAAACATTCTTTAATTATGGGCAGAGTGCAGTGTTCTACAAAGTTTAATTCGTATTGCTTGCAAACTTGCATTGCATTGTTTGAACTCTGCCACTCAATACTCGCGTGAGTATAAATGTAATACTTCTCAATCTAATTGGAAATACATTGTCTTATCGATAGCGAAAAAAGTATCCGGTACAGAAAAGTCGTTTCCTAAAACAAATTTTTCAGAAAAGTACATGCAAAACTATCCATTGTCATGATTTGGTCGTGTGAAACAAGAATTCAGCACACTCTATGACCACGTTGATTTGACTATTCCTTCAGGTTTTTTTCTGTATCTTTCTTTTTCCTTTCTCGCTTTGTTTTAAAAAAACTTTAGCAAAACTCCAAGGAAATATTAAATTTGCATGACGTTAACGACCTTTGTTTACAATGTGAAACTACTCGGTACTCCGAGAAAGATACTATCCTCTGTTCCTCTATTGAGCAGTAATTGGAGGATTTTTGACAGCATTATCTAATTTTAAAAGTACCGCATATGACGTCATAGAACGATATAGATTTCCCCATTTTTAGATCTAGTTCTCTCAAATTGTTTATCTATTTTACAGCACATTATAACTTTGCTGTGAACTCAGCTCTTCAAACTATTTCACATGAGGAAATAAAATTTCCTTGCGCAACATTTCATCTCACTCAAAAATCGTTCAGATTTTGATATTCTCCAAAATCTGAGCTCACAAAAGAATTACGAATAAAGCATCCTACCCATAGTTTTTAATGCGCCTTGCCGCAAGCACTGATACCACTTTACTAACTTCTAAGCCTGCACGTTGCATGCAAGCTACAATGAAGGCGAACATACATCATTGCACAAAGTGTTGGCAAAAGAGGCCGAAAAAGACGAATCCGTTTTTCACTACTGGAAATTTTTCTGATCTAATAAAAATGGTCGGTATTTTTCTTCTTCTTGCTTTTTCCCTGCAAAAAACTGATGGTTTACATCACTTTTCAAATCAAGGACTGGAGCTTTTTACTTCCTCGGCGTTTGAGATTTGTCAAAATATTGTAAACCGATCAGAGCAGAAGCTGATTTACATTGTGAATTTCCATTTCAATCCTGAAGTAATTGATTTGATCAAACGTCTACATCGTTCTTCAATCCAAACCACCTTGATAACCCATCCCAAAAATTTCACCCGTTTCCTGAACACGAATCGCAGTAAAAATATATTCTTCATTTTGGACGATTTGAATGAACTTATCAGCTTGACATTTTACGCAAAGTCAGAGGCAGGGATGAATCATACAAATTTTGAACTTGCTTTGAAAGACGATAAATATTACCATGATTGCTTGCCCTCGTATTGCATCACACTCGATGACCGTCGTCTCAATTTAGGAGAGAAGGACTCGTGTGACAAGATTTTTAGAATAACATCCGCGGAACTCGATGATAAAGAAATTCTTACTGATACAGTGTTCAAAAGGACCCAGCACCTTTACGTCAACAAAATTTGGAACTCACGAAACTTCTTTCTAATAATGCTTCGAAATTTCGGAATCCGCAACGAAATTGCCAATGCCAACACTGTTTTACATTTAAGGGGCTTAATTCCCGCGGGAATAGTATTAGAAAATTGTGACTTTCGCAATGACAATTCTTCACTCATCAATGAAATTCCAGAAGAAGAAGGTCAAAGCTCCATTATTCCTATGAATTTCACCGGAGATGATGACGTGGATGTGTCCAACGGAACGCTCTTCGTTTTCAAGTTCTTCTGGCGATTCTTCAGAGGGAGGAAAACCATCATTTGTCAGAGGGGAGGATGCAGGAAGTACGATTCGTTCGCCGATAGTATGATTCGGTACAAAGACGGGGCTGATGAGTCTTTTTTCGACTTTTCCTGGCAAAACATGCACGGGAAGCCACTCAAAGTGATCGTCAACGCTTACAGTGACGAAATCAAAGTCGCCAGGTCATTCGAATCGGCCTTTTGGTTTCAAATCATGTATATGTTCCTCGAACACTTCGAGCGCTCTTTCAATTGCACCGTTAATCCGAATCTGAACTTCCAATTGACAGAGCCTTTCATTTTCGGACGCAGGCATGATTCCGACAAGAACCTCGGCTTGAAATATGCTGCCGATCTGGAGGTCTTCAGTTTCGGCGTCACGGTGGAGGATACTGATTTTTCGATTTTCGACTTCTCGATCGGTTTCGAAACCAACGCACTTTGCATAGCCGCCCCTCACAGTGAGTTCATGTCGCAGGGTCTGGTTATTTTCAAAAGTTGTAAACTCTCAGTTTGGGTTGCGATTCTCCTCACTGTGGTGCTGTTCGTCTTTATGCAGGCGATTTTTCAGCGCTCTCAGTGCAGGCTATTCAGGCGTCTCTACTCTGAGGCGGAGTTACTCCATTATGAAAGTGCGCCATCTCTACTGATTGTCTACTCGTATTTTATTCTCGGAAGCCCGCCGTCTCTCCACTTGGGCCGACTTCGAACTGGCAGGATCCTATTCGTCCTATTCAGCTTTTCCGCTTTACTGATTTCCACGATTTTCCTCAGCGGTATGACGACCTTATTGAGCAACAGAGTTTCGTACCCAGAAATCGACACTTTGGAGGCATTGGAGGAGTCCGAGCACTTCATTCAAGTATTTGACGTGGACGATACCACCGCCTTTCTCAACCGGTTCAACCTATCGCAAAAATTGATATCAAAGTTGACGGGCACATTAGAATTCTTTTCAACATCCATTTTCTATTTTCTTAAAGAAAACGAAACCCTAGTGTCTTTATTAAGCAATGGCACAGTAGATCAAACCGATGAAAATGACATATTCCATAGAATCGAGAAAAATGGCAGATCAATCGCAATGAGCGACGCATTTTTGACTGCCATACCGCATTCGCACGTCAGAAAAAAGGATGCGTTTATACAACATATTTTACTTCCAAATAGATCTGAGTACCATCTGATAGATGAGTGTTTGGTAACGTACCCGTATTTGAGTCCTTTTCTAAAAAATTCGTTCTATTCAGACAAGTTAAACGGTGTCATGACTCGATGTTTGGAGACCGGCCACGTGGGAAAGTTCCTTACATCAACTACTGAGGACGAACTGACGAGTCACATCATAACAGCACCTCCGCCGCCAGCCAATACGGAGCCGAGGGCCTATACTTTAAATGATCTGCAGACAGGATTCACTGGACTTTTTTTGGGTTTATTTTTGAGTTTTCTCGCCTTTGTAGCGGAGCTTTCGGTGGATTATTTTAAAATTCCCGTCTCGCGGAAGGTTCTCAGCCGTATGAAGATTTTGATTTTGACAAAACTCCGTGGATAGAATTGGAGACTATGTTCGGATTATGGAACACTAATGGGTCAGTTGCGCTGGTCGCAGAATCGTGTTTTGATGCTTAATCCTAAGAGATTAGCTAAAAATAACGAGATCCGTCCAAACAGCAACTTCCTCCTTTCTATATTAGCCGAGATATCACCCTTTGAAAAGTCGGGTTTTTGACGTCATCCACCGCGGTAATGACACCCTTGGTTTCTTCCACCTTGCTTTCATCCGAGTTTCACGTTGAGTAACCATGGTGCAAATGTGCGTTTTCCTGACTAATGCAAGCAAGGTGGAGGAAACCAAGGGTATATCACTACCGCGGTGGATGACGTCAAAAACCCGACTTTTCAAAGGGCGATATCTCGGTGAATATTGAACGTAGAAAAGTGCTGATTGGACAGATCTTATTATTTTTAGCTGAGCTACAAGAATCAAGCATCAAAGCACGATTCTGCGACCAGCGCAATGAACCCATTCAGTGAGCACTGAAAATATTGAGGATGTAATGAACGCATCTATTTCATGGTGGTGTAAATAAATATGAAAATTCTACCGACTTTTTTTTTCTTTTCCCTTATAAAAAGTTAGATATATTCTTACGGAGTGTACTCGAATCACCCAACGAATTATTACAGTTTTTTTTTACCCCTCCTTAATATAAGGCCCCCATACAACGCATACGGCTCCGCGCCG